TTCTGGCATTGATTCAGCAGCGGCCTTCACTGTCTCCGACGCCGCCGCCGACGACTGCCACGAGCTGATGGGTTTCTTCACATCGCTCTCTGCCTTCATGAACTCTTTTTTTTTTTGCTGCTGCCTCTGGATCGTCTGGGGTATCCTTCTTGCGGGACGCGCGACCGCGCCCGCGACCTTTGCATCGTTTGCCGCCTCCATTCGCCTCATCCTCTCCGTCTCCAGTCTCCTCCTCCTTGGGCGAAATCTCCTGCCTCGAGGCCTTCGCTGCATGATCATCGTCCCCCGTCGGAGCTGCCCTCTTTGCACCAGCTGTTCTCACCTCCGTCGCAGCAGCAGCAGTAGAACCATCATCATCATGATCTCCACAATCAGGATTCGATACCTCCCATCCCGATGGCAGAGTGGAGAGCGAACCACGAGATGGAGAGGGAGCGAGGGATGCAGGGGCACAAGGGCGAGAGAGAGAGAGAGAGATGGAGAGAGAGAGCGAGAGAGAGCGGGAGAGATGCGGGAGAGAACGAGAGAGAAAGACAGAGAGAGAGAGAGAGAGAGAGAGCGCGCGAGAGAGAGAGAGCGATACAGAAAGAGAGGGACGGGCATGCATGCAGGATGGTGGCCCATGGGTGCATAATGAAGAAGAGCGACGGGCATCATGCAATACATTCCCTGTTCCCCGCCATCTGTGTGTATGTAGTCCACGCGGTCTCCAGCTCCTCCCGCTTCCCGTGCTCGAAGTAGGGGAACTTGAGGCGCTTGGCCATGGCGTCCCACCACAGCCAGTCGCCCCCAAGGGCCACGCACGCCTCCCTGACCCCCATGGCGGCGGCGACGGGAGATCACTCCCGTTACCGCCACCGCAGTCGCACATCATGGCATTCTCAGTTCTCGTGTTTTCTGTGTTTTCCCTCGTTCGCTCGCTCTCCCTCACACGCTCTCGCCTACCCCCTCTATCTCTATCGGTCTCGGTCTCTCTCTCCCTCTCTCTCTCTCTATCCATTCCCTCTCGCCCTTGCTATTCCTATGTTACGTTGTATATTGCCCTATCGTGTTTGGTGTTATCTCGCTATCTCTATCTCTCCATGGCTCTCTCTCTCTCTCTCTCTCTCTCTCTCTCTCTTTCTCTCCCCCTCGTTCTCTCCCAACCCCCGCTCCCAGCTGGCCTCGACGTAGTTGCGCGCGCCTTGGGCTGCCTCGGGGTCGTGGATGCCCCCCTCTTCCTCCCCTACCCATGCGCCCACGAGGTAGGAGGGGATGAGATGGGAGGATAGGGGGTACGAGCGATAGCGAAGACGACTGCCCCTCAATCCTTCACGATGCGCCCAAAGGCAAGATACTTGCCAGTGGACGTGTCAGCTTTCTTGTATGACTGGCTCATGCTGTACTCTTTTTTCAGGGCGACGAGCTTCAGGCCTGCCCAGTGCTTGCGGTAGTCGCGCTTTCCATCTGGCGACTTGGCGTTGAAGGCCTTGACGGCTGAGTTTTTTTTTGTGTTCCCCCCCTCCCCTCCCCACCTCCCCACTATCTCAGCCGTTCGGCGTTTTCCCGATCACCCCCGCCACCCTGCCCTTTTGGACGGTCTCACCGTCTGGAACTCAGTCGTTTGGGCCCTGAGCCACTTGTAGAACTTTTGGTAGACCCCCGTCCGCGCTTGGACCCCCGTGCTGATGGCGTCCTCGAGCTGGGCTAGGCTGGCCTTCTGCTTGTCAGTATACATATGCAACGGGTCTGAGTTTTGCTTCACCGCCACATCCACGGCCTTCTTCAACAGATCTGCTACTTCGGACCTATGCTCGGGCGGCACATCATCAAGCCATGTTTTCTGTGTGGGGATCGCTGCATTCGGGGTTGGGGCTGGCTGCTGAGGCTGCATGGGCTGGTCATCTGCACGGGCCTACACGGGCTGCTGCGGCTGTGCGGGCTGGTTCTCTGAGCGGGGTTGTTGGGGCTGCGCGGGCTGGCTCTCCGAACGGGGTTGCGTGGGTTGTTGGGGCTGCGCGGGCTGGTCGTCTGAGAGGGTCTGCGCGGGCTGTCCATGCTGCTGCCACTGCGGCGGCCACGTGTCTGGCAAGCGGTCGGGAGGATGCTCGTCCCATGGTGCCTGGAGAAGCAGGGTTGTGTTGCCGCGCAACGCGAGGCACACACACACATATGAAGGGGGTGGGGGGAGATGATATGATATCCTGATGGGGAGGGTTCGGGTGGGGGAGGGGGGGGCACGAGGAACGATCAAGAACATTGACTATAAGGAACGAATGGGCGTCTCTGGCCACGGTGGACCCGCGTCATAAACATGCCACGCTGCGCAAATCTACGGAGCGACCCGACAATCCGAGCCCCATCCACAGTCCATATAGCGGTCATGATTTCAGCGTCCTGTAAGAAAGGAAAAAAACGTTCCCCACAGTTCATGCACTCGCAGTACTTGCCAGAGTTGTAGTGCCCGCACCATGCGCAATGCCATGATTCATACCCCATAAGATCATCGGGATCATACTCGGGTCCCCCATCGGTCTGCTCCCACGTGCTCCCCTCCTTGGCGCTCTCTTCCTTCTCAGGGGCATCGCCCTGCTCGTCATCACAGCCCGAGTCAAGATCAATAGGTGATGTCGCCGACGCCGCTGCCACCGCTGCTTGCCCCGATGAGGCCGCCCCAGAGGTCGCCGACATCTGAAACGTGTCATCTGCAATCATGCGGGCGATGTCTGATGCAGGGGCGCTGCTGAAATCGCGCGAGTCCCACTTCGAGTCATCGGGACGCACTTCAGTCAGACCCTCAGCTGTCGCGCCGAGCTTGCCGAACGCACCCCTGAAACGACGGACCCCGTCATCGCTGGCCGCCATTGCAACCGCCCCCCCACGGAAGATGCGGCTTGCCACCCTTCGCTGCTCGAGGGTAGCAGGCTGCCATGCAAGCTGCGATGTGCACCGCTCATCCCTCTCCTCCTCGCCACCGCCCCCCTCCCCCAAGCCCCTCCTCCTTCACATTGCGTGTCCCTCTGATCATCAGTCGTCCCGAACCCTGTCCTCCACTTATCATTGCTATTCAATTGTCGCAGGGCAGTTCGACTCGTGCTACCATCCCGAGTGGCACATAAGGAACTAAGAGGTGTGTCCAGACTCGGCGAGCTTCGGCCACGTATCTGGCACATACCCTCGACGGAAACGCACGAACACCAGAGCCCCTTCGAGAGCTCAATGTGGCCCTTAGTTCAGCGCTTTGCGATGTCACATCAACCGCGCACAACATGCAAGCACATGCAACTCATCCCGACTCATCTCGACCGATGAGGGGCGGATGAGTTTGGATGAGTACGACCAACGTTGCGGCTGTCAACCCATCACATGCACTGCGCTACTGGCGAAACACTTTCAAGCGAACGTGCGCAGCACAGGTACAGAGCGTACAATTCGCAGCTGAACTGGAATAGTAATATGCACCATCCCAAATAAGATACGTACGTAATGGCCCAACTCAACTCGAGTCGTAGCCCAGCTCAGTCTGTGTCATCGTCCTTCTTGTAGCCTGCCCCTTTCTTTCCCCCCCTCCTCCGCCGCCGTGGTGCACATGCGTTGCACTGCGCTCCGTTCCTACTCCGCCATCTCTCGCGCCCGCGCTTCTCCCCCGCATCCCGCCCGTGCCGTTGCAGATGACATGCAACATGCACGGCCACCCCCCATTGCCCCGCCTTACAGGAGCTTGTCACGCTCCGTGTAGAGGTCCTCCTTGCTGTACTTGCCTGCCCAACCTCCGCTCCTCCTCCTCCTCCTCCTTCTCCCCCTCCT